GATAAAATCCAAAATAAAAAATATAAAGAAATTGTTTGTTATAAGTGTGGAAGATTTGGGCATTATGCCTCTAAATGTAAATTAGAAAAGAAAATTAGAGAATTATAGATAAGTGAAGAAAATAAACAAAATCTACTTAGAATAATGTTAGAAGATAATTCCTCTGAATCTTCTGAATCTAATTCAGAAATATCTGAAGAAGAAGAAGAATTAGAAAAAATTTTTAATATTAATATAGATACATCCTCTTCAAAATATTCTTCTGAAGATGAATGTCAAGGTAAAGAAATTTGTAATTGCTCAGAAAAATTACAAATAAATACCTTAGACAAAGAAAATTTAAAATTTTTAATAGAAATAATAGATAAAATTCAAGATGAAGATATAAAAAATAAATATTTATTAAAAATAAAAGATATTATAGATAATGAAGAAAGAAATAATTCCTTTTCCTAACCCATGACTTCTTACATTTGTTGTCGGTCCATAATTGCTTCAACTTTTTCTTTTCTTTTTGCCTGCAATTTTGCTTTCCCGTGATTTTTGGTTGTCTTGTTGTCTGCCTTGCCGTCTTCTTTTCTTGTGACCCTTGTTTGCTTTTCTTCTTTCCGTCCTTTATTTTCTTCTTTCGGCGTCCCTTTGTTGATTGTTATTTCTTTTTATGAGCAACAAGTTGAAAGTCTTCATAGTCGGCGCCATAAAGTTCTTGCTCTATATCTGTTTCTTCATTTGTCTCTTCTTCTTCTGTATTATTTGGATGAGTGGATGATGACGCTACTTCTTCAGATGCTACTTGAGAAGCTACATCATTGATTAAAGTGACCCACTCTTCTTTTTCTTTTTTAGCTTTAAAGTTTTGATGGGTTTTTTGAATTCTAAACATAATTCTATATTGTACAACCATATATGTAGTTCCTTTAGCCCATGTTCCTTTACTTCCTATTTCCATAACTAATGATTCTTTACAGTTGTGATCTTTTAATCTAGTTACATAATTTGGAAAACAATCAAAATATATAGGTCCTTCAAATAAATTTGATTGTATAATCCCTACTATTGATTTTTGAAATTCACGTTCTTGTCTTCTATCTCTTAAACATATAAATATAGGTTCATCTAAACCTAATCAAAAATTGGGTTTAACTGCAACTTGTATCATACCTATGTGCATCCAGTTATATTTTTCTTTATATTTCTTTATGGTTTCATCAGGTATCATATATATATATATTGTCTTTCTTTATTAATTCCTATTTCTTTTTCTATAGTTTGAGTTACATAAGAAAAATCAAAACTAGTAACTTTATATATTTCTTTTTCTTTAAATGTTGGCATTGACCAGTTGGTCAATAATTCCTGTATAGTTTCTATAATTATTTCAGATTTGCCAGAAATTTGGTTATCACTTATTTCTTCTAATTGGTCAGGTTCATTTATTTCCTTATTACTCTTAAGGCTTAGACTCATCCATCTATATTCCATTCATATATTGAAGAGCTATCATAATGAGATGCAGACATAGTATATCTCTCTTCAAATTGAAGATCCGGGAGTGTTGGTCTCGGATAATAATTTTTTGTATTTTTATATTTAGTTTTTGGATTAAATTTTACTTTATTTATTTTCATTTCTTCTGTTTGCCTATTAATAACATTTATTGTTTCTTTAAAACTTAAAGATTCTAATTTTTTACGAATGTCCTGCAATAAGTCTATTTGTTTATCTTTCATATCCCATTTTTTTAAAGTCATATTTTTTGCTTGTTCTGCAGATATAGCTTCATATTTAAATATTGGTCTTTGAGGATTTATAGCTAATTTTTCAGGAATATTTTGTTGTATATTATTATTTTCTAATTTGTCTTCTATTCTATCTAATTGTTGTCCTAGGCTGTGAATAGCTATATTTGAATAATTGTTTTGTTGAACAATTTTCTGTAATTCTTTATTTTCTTGAGTATTAACTAATTTTAAGGGAGAGGCTGTAACATTTGTTTCTCCTATTTTGTATATAATTTCTTCTAACGGAGGATGGACAAAGGTAACAGAAGTATTATTTTTACATGCCCAATTTTTTGTTCTTGTTGAAGTATATTTACTGAGGGATGATTATTTTTACTAAATGGATTAAATATTTGATTAAAAACATTGAACCAGGCTTCTTTATAATCATAATAATTATAAACCTGATCCTTGTAATTTTCAGGAAAATTTTTTGCTGTATATGGAGAATACCCCCAAGTGGTGGGAGTAAGAATTTGTAATATTTTTATTTGACTATATGGATTTCCTTCAGATTCTTTATGTGTAATGCTTATAGATTGAGAGGCTACAAGAATATATTCATAATATATTCTGTCTTTTTTGGAATGTTGAGGAATGAAATTTCAGTTTCCTTCAATTGGGTGAGAAGGAAATATGGCTTGAATTGTGTCGGCTATATTTTGTTTTCTGAATTCTGGTTCTACTAGGCAAACATTCATGATGAATTCTTTTGGAATATATTGACTATACTCTATTTTCTTTGAAGAAGAGGCTTCTTTTTGACTTACTATCTGGTTATATGTCTTTAGCTTAAGAGATTTGTCTGATACATAATCTCTTATAGTCATAGGTCGATCTGGCTTTTGAGGAGTATTTGGCTGTATGGTGGCTTTTCCTTTTCCTTTATCCTTCTTACTCATCTTTAACTTTTTCCTGTAAGAATTCTCTTGTTAAAAAATCTGGTAAAGAATTTTCTTTTCCTTTTATAAACTGAATTTCAAAATCAAAACAAGATAAAATTGCTTGCCATCTAGCAAATATCTGTTTTGAAACAAGATTTTTAACATCTTTTTGTAAAACGTCTTTTGCTGCTTTACAATCAACTTTTATTAAAAACTTTTGATTTATTAAATCTTCTTGAAATTTTGAAATACATAAAACAATTGATAAAATTTCCTTTTTTATGGTGGAATATCGCTGTTGAGCCTGTGACCAAATTCCAGAATGATATCTTACTATTTTTTCTTTATCATTTTCTACTTGCTTTAAAATTCCTTCATATCCTATTTCTGACGCATCTGTTTCCACTATTTTAAAAGCTAAGGGGTCAGCTATTCCTAGACATGGTAAATGTTTTACTTGAACCTTTACTTGTTGTACTATTTTTGTCATATTAGCTGTCCATTCTGGCGGATTCTTTTGAAGTCTTTTAAAAAGTAGGGCAATTATTGTCCTAATTTGTGGCACAAAGTCAGCAACATAATTAAGATATCCTAAAAATCTTTGTAACTGTTTTTTATCTAATATTTTATCAGGGAATTTATCAGCAAATTCTATAACTCTACTGGTAGGTTTTATACTTCCTTGATAAATTTCCATACCAAGAAACTTAATTTTGGTTTGAAATAATTTCATTTTCTTAGATGATATTACTAAACCATTTTTCTTAATAGTTTCAAAAAATTGATTTAAATGTTTAAAATGATCTTCTATTGAATTTGAAAATACTAATATATCATCAATATAGACTATTGTGAATTTTGTAAATGGGTTTAAAATATCATTCATTATTTGCTGAAATTCTGAAGGAGCATTTTTTAATCCAAATGACATTACATTCCATTCGTAATGACCAAAAGGTACTGTAAAAGCAGTTTTATATCTATCTTGTTCATTTATTAAAATTTGATAATATCAGATTTCATATCAAACTTTAAAAATATTGATGCATTAGATAATCTTCCTAATAAATCTTTCTTATTAGGAATAGGGTATCTAATCCATTTTAAAACTTTATTCAAAGGTTTGTAATTTATTACTAATCTTGGAGCTCCTCTTTCTATTTCTGCAGAATTTTGGACATAAAAAGCAGAACAACTCGGACTTATCCATTAAAATATTATTTTCTTTCCAGCTATTTTAGTAATTATACCTTCTATTCCAACTTTAAAAGGTATAATTTGTTCCAAAAATGGAGTTCCTAAAATAGCGGGTTCACTTAAAGTTTTTACTAACATGAATATGTTTTTAAAACATATTCCTTAATTACAAATATGTGCATTTGATAATTTATATTTTATATCAAGACGGGAATTGTTTGCTGTACCAATTTTGACTTTTTTAATTTCAGGAAAACTCACTAGGCACCTCCCCGTATTTTCCCGGAACGAATTAATTGAAGGGGAATATTTTTTACTGAGGTACTCCTTGTCTTCAGGCTAACCGGCCCCGTCGGGGAAGCCAATTAGAAAAAAAATGTAATTATCGTATTTTATTTTTACAGCTCATACAAAAATATAAAACAGTAAAATATGTCCCCAATCCTCTCATTGAGGAGCATTCACATGGCAACAGTTCCATCTTTGCTTAAAAATTCATGCTGGATGAAAAAAAAAATGAAACCGTGAGATAAAGTATAGTTTTAGAGGAATATTTTTAATAATTTTTCTATAGTTATATGAATAATTGGGTTAAAAAATAGGATGTCACCGATAGTGGTAGTTCGGGTTACTTGAGCATCATTTCAAATTTTATCCTAATCTTTGATTTAAATTATCAATTAATAGCGAAATATAAAAGTATATTATAAATATAAATTTCTTATATATTCTTTATATTTTTTAAAATTAATATATTAAATATATGATTCTAATTTAAATATTTTTACTTTTTTATAATTATAGATAATTATTATCTTAGTAAGATTATTTTTAAAAAAATTTAAAAATATACCCAACAAATATTATTTTCATCAATTTGGCCTGAAAACCCCTGCTCCAATGAATCCACAATCTCAATGGTACCATGAAAAACACTCGGCAGGTAGTGACCTTGTTACCTAATGACTTAACGAGGACATCTAGTGTAGTCAAAGTCTCAAACGCGTCCTTGAGGGAAACCAGGGTAAAATATATATATATATATATATATATATAAAAGCACCTAATCAAAGAGGGAAGCCATCAGAGAAAACCAAGCATCATTCTTTGAGCTCTTCAAATAATTCCAATCTATAATCTGAAGCAAAAGGGCCACCCAGAAGTTGAAAAGAAATGGCCGAGAGTGCAGTGTCGTTTCTACTGAGCAAGCTGACTTCCATACTCGAAGAACAAGTGCAGCTGCTGAGTGGAGTTCACAAAGAGGTTCAGTTCATCAAAGATGAACTAGAGCGCCTCAGTGCCATCTTAAGGGTGGCTGATTCTTTGGAGGACGAAGACCCTGAACTCAAAGTTTGGGTGAAGCAAGTCAGAGATGTGGCTCATGACATGGAAGATGCCATAGATGAGTTCACTATTCGCCTTGTGAGTCATCGTGAGCAAGGCCAAAATTCTTGTCTCAGCAGGTTTTCTTCCGCCATCAAGGCTCTCAGAGCTCGGCATTGGATTGCTTCTGAGATTCAAGAGATCAAAGGCAGATTGGAAAACATCTCAAAGGGTCGTTGCAACATGACTGAGACTGGATCAAGCTTCCGTAATCAGTATACATCAAGGCTTGATAGCCAAGACGATGCGCTTTTGCTTGATGAAGCTGACCTTGTGGGTATTGAGAAGCCTAAAAAGCATTTAATTGACTTACTTTTCGAGGAGGAACCTGGAAGAGTAGTGATTCCTATTTATGGAATGGGAGGATTGGGGAAAACCACGCTGGCAAAGCAGGTCTATGATGACCCAAAAGTGAAGAAGCTTTTCAGGATGCACGCATGGGTCACTATTTCCCAATCTTTCAAGATCCATGAGCTCCTAAGAGAGCTGGTTCAACAGCTCCATAAAGTTATAGGAAAATCAGCTCCTGCAGAAGTTGGCACCATGAAAAGTGGCAGTCTAAAGGAGGTGATCAAGAGTTTGCTTCTGCAAAGAAGGTACCTGATCATCCTGGATGACATTTGGCGAGTAAATGCATGGGATGCTATTCAACATGCTTTGCCTAACAACAACTATGGCAGTAGAATCATACTCACAACTCGGAATAAGGATGTAGCAGCTTATTCTTGCACCAAATTCCATGATAAGGTCTATAACTTGGATTTTTTGCCTCAGCATGAATCATGGTCTCTTTTTTGTAACAAGACCTTTCGAGGGAATCCATGTCCTCCTCATTTGGAGGAGTCTTGCAAGTGTATCTTGAAAAGATGTGGGGGATTGCCTCTTGCAATTGAGGCAATCAGTGGTGTTCTGGCTTCAAAAGACAGAACCAACTTGGAAGAATGGTTGATTGTTTGTAAGAGTTTTGCATCTGAAATTGAAGGCAACGACAAACTGGAGGATACAAAGAAAGTGCTTTGTTTAATTTTCAACGATTTGCCATATTATCCTAAATCATGTTTGTTGTACCTAATCATCTTTCCAGAATTTTATGCTATTGAACGTATCAAGTTGATTCGGTTGTGGATAGCTGAAGGATTTGTCAATGGAGAAGAAGGAATGACACCAGAAGAAGTTGCAGAGAGTTATCTGAAGGAGCTCCTGAATAGGAGTTTGATACAAGTGGTAGAGAAACACAGTGATGGCAGGATCAAGACTTGTCGTATCCATGAGTTTCTACGGGAGATCATCAATTTAAAGTCAAGAGATCAGAACTTTGCAACAATAGCCAAAGACCAGGACATAATCTGGCCAGAGAAAGTTCGTCGTCTATCAGTAATGAATAGTTTACAGAACATACAGCAAACTAAGACCTCATTCCAACTACGTTCTCTGCTATTGTTTGCTTTATCTGATTCACTGGGTCATTTCTCCATATCTACATTATTTTCAAATAATTGCAGGCTACTTAGGGTGTTACATTTGCAGGATGCACCTTTGGAGTCGTTTCCTGCAGAGATTGTCAACCTTTTCCACCTCAAGTATCTAAGCTTGAAGAGTACGAAGGTGAAAAATATCCCAACCTCCATCAAGAAGCTTCAAAATTTGGAGACATTAGATCTCAAACATTCCTATGTCACTGAATTACCACCTGAAATCTTGGAGCTGCATCAACTACGCCACCTCCTGGTGTATCGCTATAAGATTGAATCCTATGACAATTTCAACTCAAGGCGTGGTTTCAAGTTGCCAGGCTTGATTGGATGTATGCAATCTCTGCAGAAGCTTTGTTTCATAGAAGCAGACCAAGGAAGTCAAGACTTGATGGTTGAACTAGGAAAGCTAACCCAACTCAGGAGGCTGGGTATGAGAAAGCTGAAGAAAGAAGATGGGGCTGCTTTGTGCTCGTCCATTCAGAAGATGACCAATCTCAGGTCTCTGTCCATAACCGCAAGAAAAGATTATGAGATCATTGATATTCAGAACATAGCCAAGCCTCCTACATACCTTCGGCGATTGTACTTAAGAGGACGTTTAGAGAAGTTACCTAAATGGATTACCTCTCTCCAAAATTTGGTCAGACTGTATCTAAAATGGAGCAGTTTAAAGGAGGATCCTCTAATATATCTTCAAGATTTGCCCAATCTAATACAACTTGAGTTTCTGCAGGTTTATGTTGGCGAGAAATTGCATTTCAAACCAAATGGATTTCCAAGTCTGAAGCTTTTGGGCCTCGATGATTTAACTAATCTGAAATCTATGCTTGTAGAGGAGGGGGCGATGGCTAATTTAAAAAGGCTGATCATCCAGCGATGCGGATCATTGAAGCAGGTGCCTTTAGGCTTAGAACATTTGACCAAGTTAAAATCAGTCGGTTTCCTTGATATGCCTGATGAACTGGTCATGGCAATACATCCCAAAGGAGGTCAAGATCACTGGAGAGTAGACCACATACCAGTTGTTCATTCAATCTACTGGAGGTCAGGTGGTTGGGATGTTTACTCAATAGAAACTTCAGGGGGAACACGAACAGAGAGTTCTTCTAGTTTTAGTGCTTCAATGACAAGTCATGAACTTCGTTCTCTCTGGGAATTCTAACTTGCCTACGAAATGTAAGGCTTCTTGTTTGTTTGTTTTGTTTTTTATGAAATGTATCAAAAAGAATGACTGCAGATTCATCTCTTGCAAGTAAACCAAGATTGAAATATTCAGCTTATGGTTTTGCAACGCGTTCATGATTCCTTAAATTTTGAAATGCTTACAGAACAGTAAAGCCAAGGGATTAGCTGGTTTTCATGTGATTCAGAAGCAGAGCCCCATGCGGTGAATTGATCAGTACGGCAGCATAAAATCATGAATAATTCCTTTTGTAATTACTCTTATCAAAATTCAAAATACGTATTCCTTAGTGAACAGGATATTTTTCCCAATGCTATTCACTTCTTCAACTTTCCTGCAGAATTTGACCCACTTGACCAGTGCAAGTAAAGCCGTGTCCTTTGAAGTATTTTTGTTGATTTTATTATTCTTCAAGTTTGCTGCTATTATGTTATATGACTTCCAATAACTCCAATACATTACGTAAGGTGTTGCTGTTGGTATTACAATTCATTTGAGGTTGGAAACGTCATGAACTAGGCAACTTATGTAAATTAATTTGTATGACTTTATAAATTGGCTACGGTGTTGCAAATGCTTTGATAGTTAGTGGCTACTGGCTAATACAGTACAAATTTTATATGGGAGGAGATGAACTTGCATGTTTGTTATTGGGCCGAATACCCAATACACTACAAAGTTCAAAATTTGTCTCTTTTATTTATGTGCATTAATAAAATATCGGTCCACTCATTGAAAAAAAATCTTATACTTAAAAGATACAAATTAAATTTTTGAAAATTTGGAAGCATGGCCAGTTCACATTAATATACAAAGAATTTATCATTGATATACAAGAAGATATCATTAAAATTTTAAAAATTTACAAGGATTTATCATTAATATACAAAAGTTTATTATTGACAAATATAATAAATCAATTATAATGTAAAATATAAAAAATATTAGGTTATTTACTTAATTTAATCATATAATATGGGTTATATTTGCAAAAGCTCTTAGAACAAAAGTGCACTTTTAATCCTTTAACTTTATATAAAATTTTATTTTAGTCTTTTAATTTTATAAAATATCTTTTTCATTCTTTAATAATAACACCATTAACATCAAATGATAATTTTTTATATCAATCATTATTATTTTAAAAAATTAATCTTAACATGTCAATTCTTAAGAAAGCTTTATTAACATTAAAAAGTTTAACGTCATCACTTATTGTTAATAAAACTAATATGTTAGGATTAGAGAACTGAAAAAACTATATAAAATTAGAGAATCAAAATGAAAACTTATATATGAAATTAAAAGATCAAATACACTTTTAATGTGTTAATAATGACAAATTGGGCCAACACGTAGGACGAAAATCTATAGGTTGCTACACATGGAGCCATTATCTTAGGCCCAATAAAAAAGAGAGAGGAAATAAAGAAAGAAATAGAGAGATTAGCAAGTATCCTCTTTATTTACTCAGCCTCATTAAAATATTTCGGCTCGGTAATAAAATAATTCATCTCATTTGCAATTCATGAAGTTTCAAATTTTTTAAATAGTACTGCTTTGCTTCAATTCAACAGCCAAAATTCACTGTTAATTACTCCTAATTAAGATACAATATGTCCAGGAAAAAAAAAAAAAAACTGAGATACATTGAATTCTTCATAGCATAGCTCTCTTAAGTCTAAGTCTTAAAGAAAGAGCACGCGTGGTCCTTTGACTAAATGGTATGAAAGACTTCTCAGTATCTACATAATTAAAAAAAAAAAAAAAAAAAAACACGCACACGCACACACACAGAGACAGAGATCCATTCGTTGCACTTATCCACATTTCCAACAACCTTTCCTGCCAAAAAAAGCCAAAAAGAAAAAAAAAATAAAAAAGAAACAACAACTTTGTCGATTTCTCTGTATTCTTGGCCAAAGTCTTTCATCTTTATCCAAGGTATCGATTTTAAATCTTGCCGTGTTTAAGAAATAAAAATTTTCCAAATTTTTCTTATGAAAAAGGTGTGTTTAAAAATGACAGTTTGCAAGTGGAAGGACATTTCATATTCATTAGTGATTCACTCAGTGACTACACTGTTCGAGTAATAATCCAGACTTCCATATGATTTAACTTGGTTTCTTGTGACTTTAGAATTCTTGTGCTTCTAATGACTAGACTTGATAGTATAAATATCCATGATCATGTTCACATTTAATCCGATCCAAGTCATAACTTTGACCCCAATGTTAACCTGTTATATATACCCATCATTTAAAAAAAAAAATTGCACGGATGGGTTGCATCTTTTTATGCTTCATTGTATCCAGCCAATCCCATTTCCCTAAAAGTATATTCTATGTCTGATTTAGTTTTTAATTTCTTCATATATTAGCCAATTTTCTGCACAAATTATGTTAGAAATAAATAAGTAAATTATCCCTAAACTTTTAATTGGGTAGCACCACAAACCTTATACTATTTTATTGTACGAATTATTTTCTCAACTTTTAAAAATGATGCAATCTAAATCCTGTTATTAATAAAAGTTAATTTTAACTGTTAATTGATCAAAAAATGAAAGAAAAGAAAATTTTAGAAAGTAAACAATAAAGAACCCTAAAATTATAGAAAATAACTCAAAAAAAATTTTGGATCCTTTTCTATCATTTTCTAGTCAACTAATAATTAAAATTAATTTTTATTAATGATAGGATTCAGATTGCACCATTTTCAAAAGTTAAAAAAATAATTTACATAATGATGAATATTAATTTGAATACCGGCTAAACTTGAAATCAACTTTTGATTTTGTTTCTAATTTTTCTTATATTATTACTGCAAGTTGAATTAATATTTATAAGCTTGTCTTATGTATGTATGTATAACCATTTGATATCCACTTGGGAGGCCCAGGTATATATATAAAATATATATATATATTGTAGAAGGTTTGTTTTTTTGGGAACAAATATAAAAAGTTTTAATTTCTCATGCCACCATATTATTTTTTTCTAGCAGTTCCCTTTTATATTTTTCACACATAATTTAATATTAGGCTATTAGCATATTACTTGATATTTTATTTATTTACTATTAACGTATTAAATAAAATAATGAATATTGTTAGTTCATTGAAAAATTATACTCTCACCGATGAAAAATATAAAATATTTTTAATCGAATCTCAACCTTCAATAAATTAGTTATATATCTTCAAACTAATATCATATTTTCATATTTAGTATTATTTAATAGGGTGTTTTACTTACAAATAAATATAAAATAATTTATTTATCAAGAGCATTTAAAAAAACAAATTAACTACAATTTAAAATATTAAAAATGTCTTATATTTTTTTAATAAGAAAAGCATTTTTTAATTTCCTCCCACCCTCTGGTTCCGCTCTTGTATCCACTTGTTGCTATCAATTATTAGGATAGCTCTTTGAAAGAATTTTTCTGCATTTATATATATTCAAATTCAAAAATCATATTGAAGCGATCATAAACTCTTTTATCAAGCATAACACCTTATAAACTTTAGCTCTAGTAGTATTATAGATTATAAACTCATTTATTATACAAATTATTCTCTCAACTTTTGAAAATGGTGAAATTCAATCTCTGTTGTTAACAAAAGTTAAATCTGATTATTAATTGATTGAAAATAATAGAACAGGACCTAAAAAATTGTAGAAAATGACAAAATTTATTTATTTTATTTTCTGTAACTTTTGAATTATTTATTATAATTTTTGAACCTTTTTTCTCATTCTCTAATCAACTAACAACTAAATTTAAATTTTGTTACTAGCAAGGACTAGATTGCACTTTTGTTAAAATTTGAGAAGATAATTTGCATAATAAATAAGTTCAAAGTCTATAGTGCTACTTGATTTAAAATTATAATCTATTCATTTACCCTAATATCTATTATATTTTTTTATTTAGAAATAGACTTATTATTTTTTATGTTTCTATTTTTAATACTCCGCCCACTAAAAGAGTCTGTATAATGATGCGTTGAACTATTGTTGTGCTCTTTCCTAACCAATTGACAGATTCCTCTTCTGAGCAACAAAACAGGAAAAAAAAAAAAAAAGTTTGAAGCAGGCAATTTAGTGTTAAATTTTTACTCGTACTTTGTCCCCAAAAAAAAAAACTTTTCCTTGTACTTTATGGCATTTCTTCTGCATCAGACAATTTTTTCATGCAGAGTCAAGAAATAGATAGAATTTGACAAGCTTATTGAACAGGAGATGCTAGATATATGCCTGTGGAAATGCTATCTTGGACACTCTTCACACGTTTCTGGTTCATCAAGATAAAAGTCAGCTGGGCATTATGCTGTTATGGACTTTTTGGTCCTCAAGCATAATTCTCCCATTTAGTATCAGGCCGTTATATGGACTTTTTGGCATTTCTGTTGCGTCAGACTCACAGAATTTTTTTCCTCAAATGCTGAGTCAGGAAAAAGAAAGAATTCAATTTACCTGATTTTTGAACTTGAGATACTATATGCCTGTTTGGAATATCATTTTTGAAGTTCTTGACACGTTTCTTATCAAGAAGCTTACAGTCAGTCAGCAACCTTTTGAAATTCAGTTATTACAATCTTCACAAATTTTTTAAAGCCAACTTTTTGCTGAGTACATACACTTTTTGCTGTAAATTATGTTGCTTTTCCATGATTGACAGATCCTTATCTAGCTATGATGCAGTTGTATGGAGTTTCGTACTCAAGGGACGATGAAAAAGTCGTTTATCTTTATCTTCTACGTAATTTCTAAAATTTATAAATCAAATTATTTTCTGGGTGACCAATCACGGTATCCAGACATCAGGTTTCTACAAAAGAATCTGTTCCATTGTCACTCTTTGGAAAATATAGACAGCCAGAAGGTTATCAAGACTATATAAAGCCTGCGAGCCTGAGTTTTACTAAACAATATTTCTCTGCTAGTCTGCTTTGGACTTGCAGGAGAAAATGTCACTAACCTAGAAAAGTGAGAGAGAAGAATGGTAGAAAAAGCCGTGAATTATCTTCTCCAAAAACTTGCGCCCTTCTTTGAAAGCGAGGTGAACTTGTTGACATGGGTTGGGAAACAAGATACGGAGCATCAGAAAGATAGATTGGAGCTTATCAGAACCTTCTTAAGAGATCCAGATGAATTGGAAGACAGTGATGATGAACTCAAGATTTGGGCTAAGCAAGTGAGAGATGTTGTTCATAAGACTGAAGATCTTTTGGATGAATTGGAGCTTCTTCAGACACATAACCACTCAGATGGATTCTCCGTCTCTTTTAGTAAGATTTCTTGCTGTATCAGAAACATGAAAGCTCGATATCGGATTTCTTCTGAATTAAAAGACATGGACTGCCGAATGAGAAATATCTTGTCAGATCGCCAGAGATTCCTCAGCAGATTTGAAGCTGCCTCTCGTACTTCAAATTCCATTTCTACAGGTACTACTGATTGCCATCACGAGTAACACTGTATGGGATCAACACTGGATTCTGCTCGTTTTGATGCTATGTTCAGCTAGATTAGTAGTGATAGATTTTCAGTAAATTGCATGCTGATTCCTGCTGATTGTTACTCAGGTAAAGCTAGTTTTTCACAGAATGAAAAGCCAAATTTGACGCCCTTTTCCTTTTGAAGATTCCCTTATTATTAGGGATATAGAGGTAATGTTAGAGATAAAACCCACCTTCAGGATTTTTGTCCCACTCAAACAACTTAAGCTCTCTTAGGGGTAATTGATTGACTTGCAAAAGTTTGATCAAATAATTGTAGGTTCTGAAAGATTTTACACCAAAAGGTAAGTGTATTTGTTTTTGTTAACACCCAGTTTGTAAGTCTAAGACTAAAATACCTTAACAAGTCAAGTAGGCAACAAAACATGCTCATGACTCAACTGCTTCCATAATTAGTTATACTATATTGGCCGGGACTTGATGCTGCTCATGCTCATGCTGTTTTCCATATGTTCCATCTAAATCAGAGTTGACAGATTTGGAGAAAATTGCATGCTGGTTCGTGTTTAATGTTTATGCTTATTTAATTAAGGCTAGATTTAAACCTTTTAGGCTTTTGAAGGTTTTCTTAGTTTACTATCAGCGGAGAAGGGAATAAAGATGGTGTTATAAACAAAATAACGAAAAAAAAAAAACACCTTTGCTTTTTTCTTTTTCCCAACAACTATAGCCTTTGAGGATAGTTGATTGAGTATGCTTACAATATACCAAACTCTCTTATTAAGCAGTAAACACATGGCATGATCAACGAGGGGATGCTCTTCTCCTGGACAGTAATGATCTAGTGGGCATAGACAGACAAAAAGGACAGTTCATCGAGTGGTTGTTTAAAGGTTGTTCCAGCCGCGGAGTAATCTCTGTGACGGGAATGGGAGGACTGGGGAAGACAACGCTGGTGAAGAAAGTATATGATGACCCAGAAATCAAAAGACATTTCAAAACCTGTGTCTGGATTACTGTTTCCCAGTCTTCTAGTACTGAGGAACTTCTTAAAGACACAGTCAAAAAGCTTTTTCATGATATAAGTCGGCCAGTTCCGGAAGGCTTGGAAAGCATGAGGAATGATCAGTTGAAGGTGATTATCAACAAGCTGCTGAAAAGGAGGAGATACCTGGTGGTGTTTGATGATATGTGGCACATGTATGAGTGGGAAGCTGTCAAATATGCATTTCCTAACAACACTTGTGGCAGCAGAGTTATGATCACCACAAGAAAAACTGATTTAGCCTCTCTCTCCAGCATCGAATCCAAAGGCAAGGTGTACAACATGCAACGCTTATCAGAAGATGAGGCTTGGGATCTATTTTGCAGGAAAACCTTTCCTGATCATTCATGCCCCTCATATTTGATGAGCATATGCAAATCTATATTGAGAAAATGTGAGGGTCTTCCCCTTGCAATAGTGGCGGTCAGTGGCGTTTTGGCTACAAAAGACAGGCGCGCCATAGATGAGTGGGACATGATTTGCCGCAGCCTTGGAGCTGAAATTCAAGGCAATGACAAGCTCGATAATTTGAAGAAAGTGCTTGGCCTCAGTTTCAGTGATTTGCCTTCCCAGTTGAAGCAATGTATCTTGTACTTGAGCATCTTTCCTGAGGCCTATCTGATTAAGAGGATGAGATTGATTCGGTTGTGGATAGCAGAAGGATTCATTGAAGCCAAAGAAGGGAGAACACTTGAAGAAGTTGCAGAGGACTATCTCAAGGAGCTATTGAACAGAAACCTGATACAAGTAGCGAAGACGACATCAGATGGAAGAGTCAAAACTATCCGTATACATGCCCTCCTGCGAGAAATCCTCATTTTGAAATCTAAACATCAAAACTTTGCAGCCATTGTCAAAGAGAAAAGTGCAGCATGGCCAGAAAAGACTCGACGCCTTTCACTGCATAGTACATTGCCAAATGGACTGATTCAAAGGTCTGTTTCTCAACTTCGTTCCCTTTTCATGTTTGGAGTTGCAGAGAAAATCTCCCTGCACAAATTGTTTCCAGGTGGTTTTAGACTGCTTAACGTTTTAGATTTCGAAAAGGCACCTTTGAAGAAGTTTCCTGTACAAATGACTGATCTATATCATTTGAAGTATCTGAGTTTAAGGAAAACAAAGGTGAAAATCATTCCAAGTTCTATAGGGAAGTTGCAGAACTTAGAAACACTGGATGTCAAATACAGTTCTGTCACAGAATTGCCTGCAGATATTACAAAGCTTCGCAAACTTCGCCATCTCCTGGTATACCATCATCATGCCAAAGTCAGAAGTTTTGTGAAGTTCCATTCCAAGTGTGGTTTCAAGGCCATCCATGACATAGGAAATCTCCAGTCACTACAAAAGCTTTGTTTCATAGAGGTAGATCAATGCTGCAGGACCATAATAAAGCAGTTAGGAGGGCTAACTCAACTAAGGAGGCTAGGCATCATGAAGCTAAGAGAGGAAGATGGTAGGGTTTTCTGTTCATCCATTGAGAGGCTAACTAATCTACGTGCACTCTCAATCACTTCAGAGGGTGAGGATAAGATCGTTGATCTAAGGTTCCTATCCTCACCTCATCCATTTCTTCAACGCTTGTATTTGTCAGGACACATGCATGAGCTTCCGAAGTGGATACCTTCACTCCACAGCCTGATCAAGCTAATTCTGAAATGGAGCAATTTAAAACACGATCCACTGGTGTATCTGCAGGATTTGCCCAACCTTGCACATCTTGAACTACTTCAGGTTTATGACGGAGACACACTGTGTTTCAAATCGGGAAAATTCAAGAAGCTTAAGGTTTTAGGTCTTGACAAGTTTGATGAACTTAGGCAGGTGAATGTGGAGCAGAGTGCAATGCCTTGCCTGGAAAAGCTGATCATCCAGCGGTGTGAACTGCTGAAGAATGTTCCATCAGGCATGCAACATTTGACTAAGCTGAAAGTCCTCGAGTTTTTCGATATGCCTGATGAACTGATCACGACATTATATCCAGATGATAGGGGAGAAGATTACTGGAAAGTGGCACACATACCGGAAGTCTATTTTACCTACTGGAGAGATGGTGGTTGGGATGTTTATGCATTAGAGAGCTTCAGGGAGAGTTCTCCTCGATCAGGTCTTGTCATGAGAAGCCATGAACATCGCAATCTATGGAAAGGGTAATTTCAGATTGTATTATATACAATTGTTAAGTCTCACATCTGTAAATTCTATTGTACAGAAGTCAGATGATCAAAGCAAGGTGTATGTCTTATTTCACCTTCACCTAAGGTTTAGGAAAAGGCTCATTGTAAATAGTGTGAAAAAAAGTTGGAAGTCTTCTCATAATTCTGTAGGTTTGAAGGACTTGTAAATTGAATCTTTGAATAAATCCTTGTCTTTATTTTCCTGACTCTAATCTGCTATTAGAACATGATATTACTATGCCTAATATTTTTATATGACAAATAAAAGGAGTATATTATATTTCTTATTATTTCAAACCTTTTATCATTTATGATACTATGCCTAATATTTTTTTAATTTCTACTTATGCTAAGCAATCTCTATAACAGTAATATTTTAAACACAATTCACACTTTTCTCCAAAAAAAAAAAAACACACACACAAACACATGCAATCCACGCTTGTAATCAACGTTTGTTTTGTTCTCTAAGTTTTCTTTTGCCTAAATACCGAAATGGCAAGTTATTTATATATAAAAACCTGAATTTTTTTTAAAAAAATTACTCTGTAGAACAATGGTCCTTCTCTGAAAAGAAAGAAATGTGTAATAACTGAAATGCATCTAATATAAATAATTTACCTTGTTCAGTAGTCACACATGGGAAATTTAGTATAAAGATAAGGGAAAATCAATAGTCATGTATGGGGGAAAATTTTTTGGCCAAAATACATGGAGATTTAGCACTTTGGAAATTTCTTGTATGTGACTATGAAATTTCCTTTGTTTTTGCAATTAATTTCCTATATATGATTATTAAACAAGATAAATTATATGTCTCGAGGACATTTTTGTCATTATACATTTTTTCCTTTTTAGAACAGAATCTCTGTCCTACAGAATAATTTCATAAATTTAATTTTTTTTTGTCAATAACTTATTATTGTGATCGTTAAGCATGATTCTCCCATTTAGTATTATATACTGCCATATGAACTTTTTTGGCCTTTCTTTTGCATCATCAGACATGATTTTTTTATGCAGAGTCAGGAAATTGATATGATTCAATTTACCAGCTTTTTAAAATGGAGACGCGTTATGCTTGTTGTTTGGAATGCCACTTTTTTGACACTCTTCACACGTTTCTTGCTCAGCAAGCAAAAAGTCAGTCAGCAAAATTTAAAAATTTAGTTATTATAATCTCCACAAAAATTTTCGAAGTCAGCTTTTTAGCTGAGTTCACACACTATTGATGTAAATTATGTGGAAGCCTCCTCTGCCTCAGGCGGAGAAAAATCTATCAGATTTAATATTGTTTATATTAAATTTATATTTTTAAAAATAAAAAATATATAAAAATTTTAAAAATTATACTTATCAATCTGACAGTTAAAATTTAGTATGAATGATTTAAATTTAATATTAATTTTTTTTAATAAACTTATTACTTTGTTCAGAATATATTTAAAAAATTAATTTAAATTTTTAATATCAAATTTGAATCATTCATAAAAAATTTAAACTCTTAAATTGATAAGTATATTTATTAAAAAATTTATACATTTTTTAATTTAAAAATATAAATTTAAAATAAAAAATAAAAATATTTAATCTGAACAATTTTTTTCTGCCTCAGTGGCGGAGGAGGCTTTCCTCCAAATTATGTTTGTTTGTCGTGTTCGCCAGTTCCTTGTCCACCGACCACCGGTGATGACATTATAGTCTTCTACCAAGGGATCTTGGCAACTCGTTTATCTTTATCTTCATGTTACTTTTAAAATGATATAAATCACAAATTATTTTCTGGGTAACCAATCAGAGCAAGCCAGTCAGCAGATTCCAGTAAAAGATGCCGTCACAATGTCGCTCTTTGTAAAATTAAACCAGAAGGTTTTCGAGGCTATATGAACCCAACGAGGCTGGGTTTTACCAAGCAATATGTCTCTGCTAGTCTGCTTTGGACTTGCAGGAGAAAATGTCACTAATCTAGAAAAGTAAGAGAGGATGGCAGAGAGAGCAATAAATTATCTTCTTGAAAAGCTTGTGCCCTTCTTTGAAAGCGAATTGAAGTGGTTCAAAGGGGTTGGAGAAGATGTGGAGCACCAGAAAGATAGATTGGAGCTCATCAGAGCCTTGTTAAGGGATCCAGATGAATTAGAAGACGGCGATGAGGAATTCAAGATTTGGGTTAGGCAAGTGAGAGAAGTTGTTCATGAGACTGAAGACCTTTTGGATGAATTGGAGCTTCTTCAGACACATAACCACATAGATGGATTCTCTGTTTCTCTTAGGAAGATTTCTTGCTGTATCAGAAACATGAAAGCTCGATATCGAATTGTTTCTGAGTTGAAAGACATGGATTGCCGTATGAGAAATTTTTTGTCAGATCACCACAGGTTTCTCAGTAGATATGAAGCTGCTCATGCTTCAAATTCCATTTCTACAGGTACTACTGGCTGCCATGAGTAGTGACACTGTATACGGCCAGAGCTAGATGTTGCTCATACTCATATTATTTACCATATGTTCCATCTAAAATGGTGGCGACAAATTTTGAGAAAATTTCATGCTAGTTCATCTTTTTGCATATTCAATCAAAGCTAGATTTAAACCCCTTTGACTTTTTGAAGATTTCCTTAGTTTATTATCAGGGGGAAAAGAGAATAAAGATGGTGTTAGAGATAAAACATTAAAACCCACCTTTAGTTTGTTCTTGCTTCAACCAACTTAAGCCTTTGGGGATAGCTGATTGATTTGTACAAGTTTCATCAAATAGTTGTAGGTTCTGAAAGCTACTATGCTAACAAGGGAGGCAAGTTTGCTGATATTAGCCCATCACTTGTAAAAATAGTATACTAACTCTCCAATTAAGCAGGTAACACATGGCATGATCAACGAGGGGATGCTCTTCTCCTGGACAATAATGACCTAGTGGGCATAGACATACGAAAGAGTAAGTTCATCAAGTGGTTGATTGAAGGTTGTTCCAGCCGCAGAGTAATTTCTGTGACAGGAATGGGAGGACTGGGGAAGACGACGCTGGTGAAGAAAGTATATGATGACCCAGAAGTCAAAAGACATTTCAAAACCTGTGTCTGGATTACCATTTCTCAATCTTGTAGTACTGAGGAACTTCTTAAAGACACAGTCGAACAACTTTTTTATGAAATAAGACGGCCAGTTCCAGAAGGCTTGGAAAGCATGAGCAGTACTCGATTGAAGGCGATTATCAAGAAATTGCTACAGAGAAGGAGATACCTGGTGGTATTTGATGATATGTGGCACATGTATGAATGGGAAGCTGTCAAATATGCATTGCCTAACAACACTTGTGGCAGCAGAGTTATGATCACCACAAGAAAAACTGACTTAGCCTCTGTCTCCAGCATCGAATGCAAAGGCAAGGTGTACAACATGCAACGCTTATCAGAAGATGAGGCTTGGGATCTATTTTGCAGGAAAACCTTTCCTGATCATTCATGTCCCTCATATTTGATGAGCATATGCAAATCTATATTGAGAAAATGTGAGGGTCTTCCCCTTGCAATAGTGGCGGTCAGTGGCGTTTTGGCTACAAAAGACGGGCGCGCCATAGATGAGTGGGACATGATTTGCCGCAGCCTTGGAGCTGAAATTCAAGGCAATGACAAGCTCGATAATTTAAAGAAAGTGCTTGGCCTCAGTTTCAGTGATTTGCCTTCCCAGTTGAAGCAATGTATCTTGTACTTGAGCATCTTTCCTGAGGCCTATCTGATTAGGAGGATGAGATTGATTCGGTTGTGGATAGCAGAAGGATTCATTGAAGCCAAAGAAGGGAGAACACTTGAAGAAGTTGCAGAGGACTATCTCAAGGAGCTATTGAACAGAAACCTGATACAAGTAGCGAAGACGACATCAGATGGAAGAGTCAAAACTATCCGTATACATGCCCTCCTGCGAGAAATCCTCATTTTGAAATCTAAACATCAAAACTTTGCAGCCATTGTCAAAGAGAAAAGTGCAGCATGGCCAGAAAAGACTCGACGCCTTTCAGTGCATAGTACATTGCCAAATGGGCAGATTCAAAGGTCTGTTTCTCAACTTCGTTCCCTTTTCATGTTTGGAGTTGCAGAGAAATTCTCCCTGCACAAATTGTTTCCAGGTGGTTTTAGACTGCTTAACGTTTTAGATTTCGAAAAGGCACCTTTGAAGAAGTTTCCAGTACAAATCACTAATCTCTATCATTTGAAGTATCTGAGTTTAAGGAAAACAAAGGTGAAAATCATTCCAAGTTCTATAGGGAAGTTGCAGAACTTAGAAACACTGGATGTCAAATACAGTTCTGTCACAGAATTGCCTGCAGATATTACAAAGCTTCGCAAACTTCGCCATCTCCTGGTATATCATCATCATCCCAAAGTCAGAAGTTATGCGAAGTTCCATTCCAAGTGTGGTTTCAAGGCCATCCATGAAATAGGAAATCTCCAGTCACTACAAAAGCTTTGTTTCATAGAGGTAGATCAATGCTGCAGGACCATAATAAAGCAGTTAGGAGGGCTAACTCAACTAAGGAGGCTAGGCATCATGAAGCTAAGAGAGGAAGATGGTAGGGCTTTCTGTTCATCAATTGAGAGGTTAACTAATCTACGTGCACTCTCAATCACTTCAGAGGGTGAGGATAAGATCGTTGATCTAAGGTTCCTATCCTCACCTCATCCATTTCTTCAACGCTTGTATTTGTCAGGACGCCTGCATGAGCTTCCGAAGTGGGTACCTTCACTTCACAGCCTGATCAAGCTAATTCTGAAATGGAGCAATTTAAAACATGATCCACTGGTGCATCTGCAAGATTTGCCTAACCTTGCACATCTTGAAATCCTTCAGGTTTATGACGGAGACACACTGTGTTTCAAATCGGGAAATTCAGGAAGCTTAAGGTTTTAGGTCTTGACAAGTTTGATGAACTCAGACAGGTGAATGTGGAGGAGGGTGCAATGCCTTGCCTGGAAAAGCTGATCATCCAGCGGTGTGAACTGCTGAAGAATGTTCCATCAGGCATACAACATTGACTAAGCTGAAAGTCCTCGAGTTTTTCGATATGCCTGATGAACTGATCATGACATTATATCCGGATGATAGGGGAGAAGATTACTGGAAAGTGGCACACATACCGGAAGTCTATTTTACCTACTGGAGAGATGGTGGTTGGGATGTTTATGCATTAGAGAGCTTCAGGGAGAGTTCTCCTCGATCAGGTATTGTCATGAGAAGCCATGAACATCGCAATCTATGGAAAGTGTGATTTCAGATTGTATTATTTACAATTGTGAAGTCTCACATCTGTAAATTCTATTGTACGGAAGTCAGATGATCAAACAAAGGTGTGTTTTTAGTTCACCTTCGTTTAAGATTTAAGAAAAGACTCATTGAAAATTGTTCGAATAAAAGTTGAAGTCTTGTCATAATTCTGTATACAGTTTAATCTTTGAATAACTCTCATACTTTATTGTTATGACGCTGGATAGACTGCACTATAAGAGAAGCACATAAGCTGGCGAGCAATAAATCCATTAATTTTTCTGCACTTCAGTTTGCTTCGATTTCTTTGCTTCTCATCAAACTGGCCATGAGATTTGATCCTCACACAACAGAGTAGAATCTGCCGTATTAATTTGCAAGAATAGATTTAATTACTGCTCGATTGTGATAAATGATCATGCAAGACCCTCATTAACACTATTAATAGGTGTCAGGATCTATACCTTATGAGGAAGTCAAGACTGGAGTCTTTGGGGTTTATGTGCCTTCAGATAACAAAAATATTAAGCATGTCCCTACCTTACAGACATTTAAAAATTTGAAGGATTGCACTTTTCTTTAATTTGACAAGATGGTTTCATTTTTTGTTCTCCTCGCCGACTTTGTAAGGTCAAGTGCGTGACATTATAATTTATATGTCCTATTTGTTTCTCCTTTTTTTTCCCTTCTCAATATTCTGCACAAGATAGCGAACTTAATTCAAGATGTCATGGGGGAGTGCTCTCTGCTTTAGAGCTGGTGAAAAAACCATGTGCAACAAAATTAATACAGAAAAAAAACTCAGAAATTGTGGTTTGTCCTGTTAAGGAGTTAGATTCTTTAAAGCTTGATTTTTATTCTTAGGAACAGTATGATATTCCTTGATCAATTTGAGTGATGTACTCAAGCTTCTATTCAAAGTATGAGAATTTCTTCCCCTTTTTTTTTTTTTAACGTCAAGCTCAATGAGTTTCTGCTCTACGACCGTTTTTGTTTAATTTCATTTTCGTGCTTCAGCCCTAATTAGGATCCTATATTCTTGGGCAAATTTGAGCATGTCAATTACGCAGCCATCACTCATCACTCTTAGAGTCTTAATATTTTTCTTTTCACTTAAATGGCTTGGACTTTGGAATTTAGAAATATGTAGTGTCTCGAGTGAAATACGGATAAAATATCAACAGACCAACTCTTAACTCCCTAACATATTCTAAACCGCCATAATCGCTCTCAGAAACCAGACAGAAATAGTCCTGCAAATATATAATTAATCATATTCAAACGAAATTTCTAAACCAGAAACCGAGTCCTAAATGTTGCTAAAAGTCCAATGATAAGCTCAGACAAAAATTCTTCCACTCCAGATATCAATGTGAACGACCAAATTATGAGCTGTGACTACTCAATTTTCTACAGGGCACATCTGCAGATTGCAACTACATGTAAAATCTGCCGATCAACAAAAAATTATAGTGCCCCTCCTGCCAACCCACTCCACCATTTTTATTGCAGGTCCATATATTTAATATACAAAAATTTCAAGGTAGAGAACACTTGATTACAAATCATCTCCTAAATATATAAATACCCTTTTCTTAAAGACACGGCCTAGATCAACGATTTCCGTTTCTCTAGTATGATTTACTATGTTGTCATGTCCATTCTGTGTCTTACATTTCCGGGACAATCTGTTTGCAACATCAATTGTCAAACTGGCCATATCCCTGGTGCTTGTTAAAACTCGCAAGACAGTAGCAGAGTATGAAGGACTGGACACTAGTCTGTTAAGCAATATTAGTATCTCCCGCATCAGAAATGTCCTGAGAACAAATTGCTCGCCTATGAGTCAAAGGAAACCAAACATAGAAATTCCTGGTAGTAAATGTGAAAATTTGGATCTAATGAAAATGAAAGCAGGTATTTTATCAATATCTTAACCTCAATTTCTCTGGAGGAGTAACAAGAAATGATAGCAATTTATTCATTTTAAACTAATATATGGACTTCATAGAATTAGAGAAATTAATCTGAGGGGAAGGTAGTTAACATTGGAGACCTTTCCAAGGAAGTAAAAGGAACATTGATAATGCGAGATAGGGGGAGGAAGTTTGTATCAAGTTGCCCATCAACTATGATATCATTACCTCTCCCTGAAAACCTCTGGCAGCTCCTCACAATCTCTAGCTTCATGGTCAACCTCTGATACCAGTACTTGCAAAATCAGAAACAGATAGTTTGCTCCCCTGGAGAGCCTATGACCAACAAGAATGTCAAAGCCAGCTTTTCCAGAAGACGCAAGGAATGCCAGCACAAGAATAGCATTTCGGCGTAGTTTCAACTCCTAAAATTACAAGAGCATAGATTTTAAGCAGACAATATTTGGTATTATAAGTCTTCTTAATGTATTTTTCCTAAATGGAGTAAGTGGCTGCTTTTATCAAGTGATAAACACATTACAACAATTAATTATCATTATAACTCTTTATACCAATATATCAGACAGTCTTTTATCAAGTCTTCTTAATGCATTTTTCCCAAATGGGTGAGTCAATAGATCTTTATATCAATTATGCACCCACCCGTCCCAATTCTCCTTTCCCACGCTCTCTTCTATACTAGGCAGTAATGATTAATGAGCTATGCTGATCATGTGCCAGAAATAATAATAATAAAACAGTAAGGTGAATGATGGCTGCAGAACTGAAGCATTTTTGGATTTTCTCACTAGAAGCACCTTCAGCAACCCAGAAGCAAATATGTTGTTTTCTCTTTTCCCCTATTATTGATGCCCACAGGCCAAGACACAGACCCAAGATGAGTATTTTTTGGAAAAATAACAGGACGATTTTTATAATTTGATTATTGATTTGACATATCAAAATAATTCATGGACAAAATGGGGTTCTTAGTGAACAAGCCTACCTGTAATCCACTTCCATGGGATGCAACACAGTCTGCCAAACCTTGAAGAATGATATTGAATTTCAAGGAACCTGAGGTAGATGCGTTGTCATCCATAGCACTAGCACACTCTCCCTCTTTGCAACCACAAGAGAAAGTAACCAATAGTTTTGGACCTTCAAAACACATAAAATGAATTATTTAAAAATCATAAGATCAGGCGTATGGGCATTAAGCAGGTAAAAATAGACAATGACTTGAGCCAAATCCACAATATGAATTGAAGTTAAATGCGGTGAACCCTGAAATAGCTAAGATTTTATCTTAAAACTTAGGGTTCATGGAATGGGTCAGGTAATAGCTATTCAATTTTTGACATAATTTGGTTAAATGAATTGAAGAGGTATGGACTACAGAGATTTGAAAGTTTATACAAGATCCAAGCATGCATTATAAGCTATAACTTGAAATAATCTCCAAGGTAGTGAGGTGGGCAAATAATGACTGTTTGGTCTCTATCGATTCAACAAAATCAGAACAGCAAATGACAGCTTTTCAATAAATCGTTTTCATTATAATACAAAAGAATTGCACAAGCTATTAAAAAAAAAACTAATAACACCCAAAAAAAGAAAGACACTAACAGCAAAATAACAAAGGTGCAAGCTTACAATTTAGAATTAGGTACAAAAGCCTCAGTGCATGTTGTTTTACGCGTAACCCATTATCCCTTTTAAGCAACTGTGAAATGGTATCAAATGCCATTTTCTGTTCAAACCTGTATTACCACAAATTCACTTTGCATTGACACTTCATATAATTTCATCAAAACTTTCAGATGAGTACAACTTAGAAAGCTTACTGCTCCCTATCGATGTAAGCATTACTTCTTAGAAGGATCACAATCATGATGGACACAGCTTCCACTCTCACACTTTCCTCTGTCATCTTCATAGCAATATGATGCATTGCTTCAAAAAGATAAACCCAATTTACTTGAGGCTGCAAGGAATTCTGATGGTTCCAACGCCTTCTTTTGCTTAGCATTTCGACATCAAACAATCCTGGCTGGACCTGATCGCACACTGCATGAGACGTCTCATCCTTGTGCATATAAGAGAGCTTTCCCTCTTCTGCACCTTCAAGTCCACAAGAATCAACAATATTGTTGCCCAAGCAAACTCCCTCAACGAGCACATTGTCCCTGAGTAAAGTGCACTGGAAAGATCGAATCAAAAGTTCATAAGAACAGGAATTAAGCAAAAAAGAAGGGAACAAATAAGTGACTTCACAAAACATAAAGCCCATGACACCAGCACGAAACCTACCCTAGACTCCCTTTCCCTCGTTCTTTTTTTTTTTGTGGGGGGGGGGGAGAGGTGGGACAAAATAAGACACAAGCTTAGAGTAAACATTTTATGCATTGATTTCATAAATGTCAACTAAGGAAAATAAATAAATATCTAGCTAGTTTATGGACTATGTTTTGCATGGAGTTTGAGATGAGTTGCACTGTTCATGGCTAATAAATGGTGTGGGTTCCTATAAATTTCATATTAAACATAGATATTTAGATTCCCCGAGTACTTATAAAAACTTTTAAATCCCAGTCTTGAAGTTTCTGTAAACATCAAGTAAAATAACTTATAACTATCATGATTTGGAGAACAAAAAAAAGTTGTTGATTGAAAATGTAACCCAATGATGATAAGAAAAAAACAGACACAATTTTAATAAAAGCAACAGAACAAGTAAACCATAATAAGGCATACCTTCTTCCAGAATTCTTTTCCACTTCCAATAGGAGTTTCAAATAAGTATGCAGTATGCGTAGAGAGCTATGGACTACAACAACCTGCAGTGAAAGTAATACATCTTTCAAAGGCTATAAGGAAAAGAACACCTATTAAAACTGCTAAAACAGTTAACCTAAGAAACCAACATGGTAATGTAATCAAGCATAACTAAAGGACTTTTCCATTTTGAGCTTGTAAGCAAGATGAAATTTTAACATTTGTTCACAATACAATCTAGAAGTACTTACATTTTTAACACTACACAGATCAAGTAATGGTTCAAATAGAGTTTCCAATACAGCTGTCCCTTCAGCTATCTGCAATACAAATCAACAATGGGATGACATGCAACCCAACAACCACATTTGATGCCATGTCAGTAACAAAGATTAACATGTTTAATTTGAGTGAACCCATGACATGCATAAACAACTCAGTGGTGGAACTCTTAAACATCCAAGCATCCCAAAACCAAATCAGTGATCTGGAAAAAAAATGTTAATCTAAGCATTGGAAAATCTAAAACAACTTAAAAGTTCAAGCCATTGATACCCTAAGTTTCAAGCAAAAAGGTGCAGCCAAACTTAAGGAACAAAAATCATTGATCTGGAATAAAAATGTTAATCTAAGCATTGGAAAACCCAAAACAACTTAAAAGTTCAAGCCATTGATACCCTAAGTTTCATGCAAAGAGGTGCAGCCAAACTTAAGGAACAGCACCTACCATTAAGGGAAGCTTCATAAACTATAAGACCAGCAGTTATGATAGTGATTTAGTTAAAACATGAATTTAAATATTCACATAAAGGGCATTAAGAAAGTTAAAGCATGAAACCAATACATAAGTTTAGCATCAACTTCTGAACAGCCCAAACAGTAAAAAAATCCCATGCACCAGCAAAAATCCTCATCAAACTTCTCATATTGACATTTCTCAATAGCATGTGATGTTCATATTTATAGGGGCTCAAATGAAATTTAACTTCAATTATTAATGTTTAACACAATACTTTCCGTGTATGAGTTAAATTCAGCAATATTGAACTCTTTTAATTAATTACCAATGTATCAACATCCTCTCCTTCATTCTAAAGTATCATCATGCCAAGAACCAAAATTCAGAAGAGATTAAACCATTAAAGAAGTACTGGTGCAGAGCAACTTCTTAACTCATATATTTGTTGAATATAAAAACACAAAATCAATATCAGCAACCACATCATTTTTCAAACAAACGACCACTGCAGTAAGAAAAGTCTTCAATTAAACAGAAATATGCAAGAGAAAGTATAAAATGCTTTAGAAAAATGCACAAATGCAAAGTTGATCAATTACCTTTGTCAACATTAGGTAGAGTTGCGACACTTTGGTTGCTTCTGGAGTATGAAAACAGTCCTTGATATATTGCAACACTACTCCAGAAGAACTTGTATCTGTAAGAAATTTGGTTGTTATTTTAGAGGGTAGATTTATGGGCATCAACCCAAAAAGAATATGAAAATCTCTTTGACAGCCCACAAGCAACTTGGATATCACATTGCTTCCTAGCTTTAGTTCACCAGATGAGCCCCAAATTGCCAGCAACTTCTCGGAGAGTTCAAGACAAGCAGGCGCATCATTATTCAGTAAATTTTGAGCTTCTTGCTGAGTGTCAATGTCTGTTTGAACTCCTGTAGCTTTATAAGTTAACTCAGCTATCACAAAACAAAATCATGACAAGGCATGTCAGAAACTAACCAAATAGGGGGTGGGGGGAAGTCATTTGAAAGGGAAGGAGGGAATCTTCTCATGCCTCACCAGCCTGCACATTTGAAGATTCTCTGCTTCGAACTTTTCGAGAGATGACACGATGGTCTGGAGGAAGATTTCTCCATTCCCTGAAATGATGCTCGTTAGTATTTGTATAGGTGCTACAAGAAAACATATTAAGACAAAAATATTAATAATTATAGATCATATTTGACATATTACTAATCACCTCAAGGAATAAATTCAGTCTAAAATAATTTATGAGTGAACTCATACTATCACTTTAAAGTGATCTCTTATTTTGATCAAGAGTATCCATTAAAATACAACTGGTGATGTACTATAATAAGCTCCATTCACTTTCACGTCAGATCAGTAATATATGGCATAAACCTACACATGAATATTCCCCAATAGTTACACAGAACAACAGCAAATTATGCCATGCTTTGTTATTTTTTAAGCTTCAACTAAAAAATTGCCAATTAACAAGTCCTAGCCCCTTCACGTCCTGACTATTCCCTTCCAACAGTTGCCTATTTAGTAACCAGAACTGTAGGATAGGAACTTTTGAAAATAAAGAAGAGAAAGGAAATTGAATGTTTGACTGACATGTTTGTACTCTGTGAATGGTTAGCACGTCCATTTTCTTCTTCATTCTTTAAAGCTACAAATTTGAGCTGCTCATCTTTCTTGTCTCTTTCTTTCCTTAAATCAAGACACTCCTTTTCCTGAAGGCATACAATTAGTTTACAGCAACCCAACATCTTACTGAGTTAGAGATCCTTAAACCAGCCGCAAAAGTATAGTGGAAAAAAGAAGAAAAGAATGTCGCATCAGAAAATACAAAAAGTGAATTTGTATAGTTACACCAACATACCAGGAGAGCAAGTTGCTTCGATGCTTGTCCAAGCTCCCTCTAATTTTCACATCAACCAATTAGCACAAGTTATTCAGTGTAAGAAAAACTTGAGTGAATTTTAACTATTCAAAGTGATTGGCCTATTTTAAAGGTGTTTACAGTGTGGGATGTTTCCTTTCCCTTCCTTTGTCATGGGCAAATTGCCAAAAATAAACTAAGACACAAAAAAGGATTAGAAATAGCAGCTTTTCTAAGACAAATATTCACGCAATGTTCATTCAAATGCTGTTTTCTAGCGGCAGACAGCAACCTACAAAAGAAAGTAATATACAGTAAACTATTAAACAAATTTAACTGGCTTTCTCAAGTTTCAAAGGCCAACAGTCTATGCAAACGCTAAAGAAACAATGAAGGACAGCGTGCTAAGAACCGACAACGTGAGACCCTCCAATAAGTAGAATTGAACAACACATACAATCAACAACCCATTAGTATCCATGCACAAGTTCCGTGCTTGTGCACGCGATATAACAAGTCGTTCAAATTCAAGACATTAATTGATTATTTGCCCAAAGAAAGCAAGCCTCACCTTCAACCGCTCGATTTCATGATCTTTATCTTTATCGGGTCGTCGACAAACCGGAACAACCGCAAGAGAAGGGCATTTGGCAGGGACAGTGGGAGAGTGTTGAAAGGAATCAAAATCCTTGCTCCTCTGAGAGAGCTCTCGTGGGGGAGAGTAACTAACAGCATCATAGGAGGAAGATAAAGAAGCGGCGACAGAATGCGGCGGTTGTTGGTGGTGGTGGTATCGAGATTGAGGCGGTTGTGGAGGGAAGTGTGAAGTGGATGAAGTGGTTGGAGGAGGGGGAGGAAGATTATGGGAGTGAGAGGGATTGGAACTTGGTTTGGCAATGGCAGAGAGAGCAAGCTCTTCCACTTGGATTAACTGGTCCAAGAACGTGTCCTCCCAATCTTCGAATACGTCTTCACTCTCGTTCATCGTCTTCAGCTCTTCCTTCACTCGATTTTTTGAAATTGACGGCCTCGGAAGCGCCAGGGCATGTGTTCTGCTTCGGCACTTTGCACACTCTCCGTCTCTCTATCGAAATCCTTTCTGCGCCTCCAATTTCATAATTACACTGGGTCTGGCTTTAAAATTACACAATTTTTTTTAATTTTTGATACACACACACACATTTTTAGAAATTAATTAAAATGAAATTTAACCAAATTTTCCCGCTAATGTAAATATGGTTCCAGTAGAATTGGAGATTGGCATGTTGTGCATTTGACTATTTGCACATAACTTGCCCTAAACATTACAGTTTCGTCTATTTAATTTTTTTTTTTTTACATGACTGTTAGTCGATTGTTTAGTTATACATACACTTCTCTTAAAATATAAATATTATTTAAAAATCATTTAAATTACTCAAAAAATTAATACATATTTTTTACTTTTTTATTTATATTTAAAAATGTTTAATTATATAAACTTATTTATGTAGTAACTTTTTTAAAAAAATTAAATATGTAAATTTTGTAAAATAATATTCGTAGCCTGGTTAAAAAATTAATTGAGTATCATAAATTACTTTTTTAAATATCATTAATTTTAACACAAATTTTTTAAGCTATTTATTTAAATATTGATATACTTAATTTTTTAAAATTTGAAGTAAGAGTTGACAATTACTCTCTGATGAGATATTTTTAATTAAATTTTACTTATAATAAATTATTTAATTATCTTCAAACTAATAATACTTTTTTATATTTATTTTTATTTAATAGGATGTTTTGTTTAAAAGTAAATATAAATGTTTTATTTATTAAAAATATTTTAAAAGTATATTAATTATACTTTAAAACACTAAAAATACTTCTTATTTTTAAATATTTAATTTTAAAAAAATATTTTATATTTTTTAATGGAGGTCGGATATCTTTTAAAAAAATTAATAAAATATAATTAAAATAAAAAATTAAGTATTTTGAAAGCTTTAGCAAGATATTTCTGAAGTATATACTCTCTCCGTTCAAAAATATAAGGCATTTTTTAAGGAATTGAATGTTCAAAAATATAAAGCATTTTTAATCTTTCAATGTACAATCACTGTCTTTTTTTTTAAGTGCCCTTATTAATAGTAATTTTATATTTATTATAGGATGTTTAATAGAGATAAATATAGAAAGATAGAGTTAGTTTGAAAGTGAGTAACTACTTTATTGATGGATGAGATTCAGTTAAAAATATTTTATATTTCTTAACCGGGAGTATTTTAAAAATAAGGGTAGGTCTTGTAATTTTGTCAACACCAAATGGAGGTGATTGTGTTTTATTTTATTTTTTATTCAATAGTAAAATAGGTGAGTCTCATATATTATATAGAATATGAATCTCATTGCTTACTGTATGTTATATTGCTGGGCAAAAAAAAATTATATGTTATATTGATTGATTAAAAATAGGGAGAAAGGCAAAAATTCCTCTAAAATAAAAAAAATAATAATTTGATATCATGAAATGTGATAATGTCATCTAAGTCTCAAGAGACCTAATTGTCATTAAAAAAATTTAATAAAATGACAAAATTACCCAATTAATTTTAAAAAGTGCAATAAAAATTTTTTTGCTTACAATTTTAATTATAAAATTCACAATTCTAATTCAACAAATGGCAAAAGTAATTTAGGCATTCACGACTTTTTCTGATTATTTTTCTGCAATCAATAAAATACAACAAAGTTTTTTATTTTGTTTACAACTTTGATTTTAAAATTCATGTTCAATAAATAATTAAAATTGTTTAGGCATTTTCAAATTTATCTCACAATTTTTCTTTAATCATCAAAGAGCAATAAAGTTTTTTTTTTATTCACAACTTTAGTTATGAAATTCAAAAGTTTGGTTCAATAAATAATTAAAGGGGTTTAAGCATTTATAATTTTCTCTCACTATTTGTCTTTACTTTTTTTAAATTAAGGGGTATTGTTATTTCACTAAAAACTTTAAACACAATTAGATCTCCTAGGACTTAAAAGATATCATCACATCTTGTGAAACCAAATTGTCATTTTCTTATTTTAGAAGAATTTATTTTTCATTCTCCCTTAAAAATAACTTAAATTAAATTATTATTTTTTACTTTTATCAATTTATACTTTCGTCATTTAATCAATAAATTATTGATAATTAAATACTTATAATTTTGAATTTTTTGTTAAATTTTTACGAACACACAATGATTAATATATTACCACGAAGAAAACAATGAGTAATGTCACCTTAAGAAATTCCAGTATTATAACTTCCCTGCTCTAAAAAATCTCTACACTAAGTGGGATCAATGATTTCTTTAATTTAAATTTTTTGTCTTTGCCCTGTTTGAAGAAACTTGAAATAAATATTTCTCCCTAGTTTATATATCTTTTTCATTTTACCAATTGTATAAATACTTTTTATTTGTAAAAATTGTTGAAATGGATCTAGTAAGAAACAAAATTGATCCTAAGAACCAAATGTACTTGAAGAATTAAGGCTAATATTTTATTCATTGAATAATTTGAGCAAATAATTGAAATGCCCTTCTATATTAATTAATTTTTTTTTCAAAAAGACACAAAATCCGATCGTCAAGTGATTGTGTGCTTGCCAAAGCTCTAGCTCGCAGGTGAAGGGTCGCCAGAAAAAATCAACACTCCTTAATTACATATAATCATCAAGGATTACATGTCAACTCAACAACTAGAGAGTGCTAGGATTTTGACTTAAGATGTAAGGAATTTGACTTGGGTGTAAGGCTTCTGACTTGAGGTGCAAGGATTATGATTTGGGTACAAGGGGTCTGGCTTGGAGTGCAAGACTTACGGCTTGGGATGCAAGGGTTATGGCTTAGGTAAAAAGGATCTAGCTCAGGGTATGAGGCTTTTCGCTCGAGGTGCAAAGTTTCTGACTTGAGGTGCAAAGGCTCTGGCTTAGATGCAAAAGATCTGGCCTAGAGTGCAAGGAATTTTGGCTTAAGGTGTACATGTTTTGGCTTAAGGTGCAAGGCTTCTAGCTTAGACAATTACATGCAATATCTTATGGATTACATGTAAATCAAATATATAGATAGCACCCATTGTCAATGACCTTGTAATTATATGAAAATGACAATTAATTATATGTAAATCAATATAGGAAAAAATTACATAAAAATGACTATAGATTACATGTAAATTAATTGGGGAAAAATTCATGAGCATATCTAAGAAATATTTTACATGTAATTTTTAGTGGATTACATGTAAATCAAATGCACAAAGAACATGCCCTTATCGATCCTTTACAATTACGTGAAAATGATTATGAATTACATGTAATCAATATGTAAAAAAACTCTCGAGCATGACTAAGGAATGATTTACATATAATTTCTAACAAATTATATGTAAATCAAACATACAGAGAGTATGCACTTATCAATGCTCTTAAATTACATGAAAATGACTGTGTATTACATATAAATTAATATATGAAGAATTTCATAAGCATGCTTAAAGAGAAATTTACATGTAATGTCTAGTAAATTACATGTAAATCAAACACACAAAGAGCATACCACTATCGCTGCCCCCTGAATTACATGCAAAATGACTAACCCAGAAGCTTTGCACCCTAAACTAAATTCCTTACACATAAGCCATACCCCTCACACCCTAAGTCATAACACATGTACTTTAAGCTAGAAGTCTTGCACTCAAGTTAGAACCCCAATACCTTAAGCCACAATCATTGCACCATCTGGTTTCAGTACCCCAAATTAAAAAATATATTATAGGGAGTAAGAATAACATCATACCTATGTTGAACTATATCCTATCCTATACAAAAAATAAATAGGGAAACACTCATAATAAGTTCCTTCTTGTTTAAGCCATTTTAACCTGTAAATGATGTAAATTCAACAATGTAACATGGATGACAACTAAATTGTCCCTATAAAACAAGTAAATGTAAAGAAGGGAATAAACAATAATAATTTCAATAAAAAATATTAATTCCATTAGGCTTGGTCTCTTTTTCTATCAAGTACAATAAAAAAGATAAACAAAGATCATAGGGTACCTTATATCAAAAAATATACTATGGGAGATAATAATAATATCATACTCATGTTAAACTACATCTTACTCTATACAAAAAATAAATAAGGGGGATGACTCTAAATACATTTCAAAATACAATCAAATTTTTATTCAATCTTACAAGGAAATTCCTTTATCAGCATTTTCTTTTTGTTGACTCAAGTTATGAAATGCGTGTAAGAGCTTATTGACTTGAACTTTTTTTTTCCTCCTCTTTAAACAAAACCTTATGCTTTTGTGCGTCTAAAACATTATGCTTGAAATGAAAACTAGTGGTCATTACAAATGGGTCATTCAAGCATTAATTAATCACTACTTTAAGGGGTGATATATAGAAAACTTTCCTTTCAAGGTAGAGGAATCAAATATTTAAAAAAGAACAAAAATTAAGTTGGTCTCAGTTGTATAGTTTCAGGAATTTTTTCAAACTATTAAAGCTGAAAGAATTAAAAACATTATGCAAAAGTGATGAGATGAACTAAAATATTGTTCATGATCACATTTTATGAATTGTAGCATGTATTAGCAACATGCATTTTTCATTTAGAACAAGAAAGCAAACAACATAATAAATTTTATTGAAACCTATTATAAGACTTGAGAATTGTTTTGGCAACTCAATATTAAATGGAAATTGTCGATAGATTATGGCAATGTATACCATTCTTAAAGAAAAATGAAGTTTTGACACCACTAGTAATGCTTGAACAAGAAGGATCAACAAAAAATATTCACTTAGAATGAAGTCATGTTTTAAATAAAAGCTTACTCATTTCAAGGCTAAAAATCATAACTAATATCACATTTAAAATTTCAATTTCATTTGAATTCACAAATGAACTAAAAAGGAATGTAACAATTGAGATGAATATTAAATACATGACAAAAACAACTAGAAAACCCACCTAATCGATTTTTAGTGGTGACCCTTCAAGACGACGAGCATCTATTGGTATTATATCTCTAATTTTAA